ATTAATTATGAGATTCATGAGCTGAGCAGTGTCTGCTTGAAAAGCAAAAGTCTCGACATTTTGCTCTGTTGGATTATCAGCAGCGGTGGCGTCAGGCATTACATATCACTACCAAAAAACGGGGCAACCCGGGGGAAAATCGATTGCCTTTGAACTTTCCAGAACGACAGTTTCAACTTCACCTATCAGATGAAAGTATGTGATTAAGCAGAATCGGATTGGTCAGTGGGAATTAATGTTGCCACCAATAAAAACCGCAGCATCAAAAGGCAAATCGATTGCAATGGAAACTGCTAGAACGGCAGTGCTTATTTCCTCAGTTAGGTGAGAGTGTGTGATTAAGCAGCATCAAATGCCAAGACACCTCCAAATAGCGAAAACCGAAGAGACAGTAAATTCCATTATATTGTTAATGCACGACAATTTGTGGATTCGAGCAGTGACAGCATCACTGGCCTAAATGCACGTCCTCGAAATCTGGATGACCATCAGATACAGCTACGACGCGGACATCAACACTACAGAGGTCAGTCACGAAGTATTTTCTCTCATCTCACTCCACACAATTACAGAGCTACTTAAAGAAGTAACATCTCTGATTTGTTTCATTCAAATGCCAAGCGAAGACAGGTATGAGAAGCGCACAACGCTGCTACTATCCCAATCCACCCTGAAACCCACGACAAATGCAGCTGCATCCTCCCATTGCAAGTGGCATGTCTATAAACTGTAATGCAAGCTTGCCTGAGTGCGCCTTTTAAACAGGAAGCAGTCAGTCTATGCAAACCGCGTACCTGAGCAGAGGCCAGCGACCTTTGCGGAGGAAACAAACCACAAAACCACCTAAGCACGATTTCCTGTACACTCTTATAACATTCGTCCCAACCTGGTGGTTCCTTTGAGAATAAAAGCAGAAGTGGACTGGAAAATCACCAAACCAGTTAGATCTACCGATATAATGAAGCCAGGTAGATTTGCGACAGAATGCAAGATATTTAATAACCACGGAAAGCTTCTCTCCATTACAATGCATACGCTATGCCTTTTCCAGCAAGCTACAAGTCAACTGGGATTGAGCGTCTATAGAAAGATTTGCCGCGATGAGCAAGAAAGTCAGTCATACCCACCTCTGTTCTAAACGTGCTTTGATAATCCGGATTTTCGTTTTCCTTCGCATTTGATCGTGGGATTGTCTAGTGCCAACGCCAATGCCATCGTAAACTGGAGAAATATCACTAAGGGCAATGCAAAGAGTTATGCAGTATCCCTCTCAATTCCTCCCAGACCAGTACAATTTTCGGCCCGCACAGTATTCTGCACGAGGCTTTGCAATGCATTATCATGTAAGTTGCTTACACAGCTTTCAAATCGCATAGAGTAATAGGGAGTAGGGAAATTGACCTCACCTCTAACTGTCGCTTGCATTCCAGCACTTGGAAAATTACGTCTACAGTGCAAACACAAGAAAGTTGAGCTTGACGCCTCAATCTTGAATTATATCAAACTTCTGCCTCAATTGTGTGAAAGGCGATAAATTTGGTTTGCAAAGCGGACAAGCTCGAATCGCAGTCACTAGGCTTAACAAAGATTTCGTGATATTAGGCATCGAGATGAGTGTAGCGCAGAACACAGAAAAGGGCAAGCGATGCACACTCAAGGACACCTGGACTGGAGCATCAACAGGTGAAAATTCGTCTGTCCAACACCTTTGAACAAGGCGGAATGCGCTACACCGAGTTGCAAAGGTAGCATTGAATGAAAGTGGGTCTTACTATTGGTGAATTTAAATTTGACCCGGACAAGGCAGTGCTGCTTGCCTTGATCGGTGTCGCATATGAGGTACTCATTGTGCCGAAGGTCGTCTTTTATCTCCGCGGAGGTCACTAGCTGACCAATGGGGTAGGCAACACCAGTCACCGGATCCTTGAAGTGCCATGCAGTTGTGCCCAAACCTTTTACACTTGTGCAAACAAGTCACTTTAATAGAGTCACCGGTTGCATTTGCATACATCCACGACACATTACAGCAATTCGTTAGTCTCTAGGAGTAATAGTCCAGGTAGAAGTGGCAGTGTCTATGAAGCAATCCTAGCGCATGACTGATTTTACAGGAGAGAAGCATTTCATGCAGAAGAAATCCATCAAGACATGCCTTGAAACAAACCTTTGCCTCCTAATTTAGACCAAACGTTTCGAAAGCAGGTGATAGGAGAACAAGAAACAAAAAATAAAGCTTTGTGTGTTTGAATCAACTTTTCTGCAATAAATGACTTCCACCACCAAAAATTAGAATGAATTCAAGGAGAATAGGAGAAACAGAAATGGATACGACCCTTAATACATGGAGAAGTAATGTCTTTCAGTGATAGCTTAACATTAACAACCTACAATTTTAGGATTTAAATTCCTATTTGTAGGCATTTTGACAAGCACGACGAAACAAACTACACGGATTGAAATCAAAGCATGCTACATATGATAGAAGATTTCCAAACTCCCCAACCAAGGTAACAGCTTGAAAAGGAATGGAGTTATATCCGTGACTGCCAAATTGCTTGGAGGGTCGGGAGGCGTCGACAGTGAAACAGTGATGCTTTCTACGGAAGCTATTCCACGGAGGAGAAGGCAGTCCTAGGTGGCATTGGGTGAGTTATAGTAGTGATTAACGAATTTGTTGGCCATGTGAGAGAAACAGGCGCCCTCGCCAACCATACAGCCCGTCGAAGGCGCATTAAGAGGAGTAATTTGCGGACCGTGTACTCCGCCAAGTAAAAAAGGGATGAGGGGGGCGCACAAACAAGGAATTACAGCTCCTTGAATGGATCCAAGCAGGAGGTGAGTAACCACAGAATGTCCGCCCAGTTGTTTGTGTGGCAAGAATCGAGTCAGAACATCGTGTGATTGTCCAGGGTCTTGAAAAGCTCCACCTTCTACCTACAGATTGAGATGCTTGCTCGATTCTGTTCAGTGCCAATTCGGCGTTACGAATCGAGACCTACCCCAAACCCCAGCAGGTAATATCGAAAGGGAAATGAATGAGTACCTGAATTCAGGTTCACAGCATGGTGCCACCTAACGCATGATTCTCGTCTTTTCCCACTCTTATCGTCCTGTGAAATGAGGAAATGGAAATGGAAATGTCTACATCTGCAAAAAAGTATAAGGATTTGTGAATAACCCAGACGGATGATGAGAAGAGCAGAATAGGGTTTGAAAACCATCCAGCGTTGCCATATCTGTACGCAACGAAACGCTCTTGAAACAAATAGCCACCCACAGACGAACTCCCATCAAATTCTACAAAAAAGCACACTGCAAGTTATGTTGACTTGTTAAAATATCTACGGTAACACCTTCACGTTTTCAACACACAAGCCATTGTATAACATCAGACTGCAGTGCAGGACGACGCTCACAAAGGAACGAAGGCTGCATACCGACGACAGTGCTGCAATCCAAGCATGCCATCCTGCTCTCCAGTTCAGCATTTTCATGCCAAAACGGCCAATGCATTGAACAAGCCCGGGTCTACATCGACAAATACTTGGGACATTGAAACAGCAATACAAAGGTGGCACAAGGTTGTCTACATTGGGACCAAATTGTTCCAGTTCGACAGGAATAAAGCGGTAAGGCATTTCGACGAAATAAGCACGCTCGGCAAGCCTGGGGATGCCGGTCTTCTCGAGGAAGGGGTTGTGCAAGTGCTGCATGACGGCATCGAGACTGACGAAGCACTCCGCCTTCAAACCACCGATTTCCGTGCTTATGCAGCCCCAACTACGTAAAACCCAGTGCTGATGCAGCTCCATGTCAGTGTGCAGCACCTGTAATCCAACGGTTATAGTGGCGACCATTACATATTACTCAACTAACAGCAATTGCGTCGTATGAAGAGGAAATACGAAGAACGAAGATGACCAAGTTGTCTACTGCGGTTACTAGCACTATCGCCATGAGCATGCACAATCGAACGGGCATTCCTGTCTGCGATGAGCACTCATCTCGATGCTAAATTTTTCGAATTTCTACTTTGCAAATTGCTGTTAAGTTTGAAGAACTGGAGTTAGTTAACAGCACTGATTTCCCACCAAAGACATGCAAAACGATGAGGTACAGCAAGATGACATGTGAGGAAAATAGTCAACGTCTTTTTCAAATCACGATCTAATCATCAAGTTTTATGCACTTTCATTTTCCCCCATTAAATGATTCTTTAAAGTATTTTGGTACAATTCAAACTAACCCACACGTTACGCAAAACTAAGCGCCAAGATCCACCCTGTATTGATAGATGAATTTGTTGCAAAATTAACTAACAAATCAGCTCCACGAGAAGGATACAACAACCAAGATGAGTGTGGGACCCGATCAAATGGAGGCACTCACTCTAGTGAGTAGTGAAACGCCGAGGACTCCGACACTGATAGCGAGTTGAAGCTAGGTCACATCCTCAGGCATGAGCCTACGATTGCGGAGAAAGAAAACACTTGCCAACAGTGTCTTTTATCAACCGCCCCCGTAGAAGCACCCGACGACTCGGCAAGCAAACAGTGGAAAAGCGCGCTGAAGAGTTTCGTAACTGTAATGGCGTTGCGCCCTGCGGACAGCAGCTGAGACTTTAGCCTAAGCGGACCGACCAGCGCGGCCGTCGACAATTCCGCGCCCAACTGCTCTCAAAGACGCCACAATTAAACACCCTGCCTGTGGGAGGAAGAAAAACCAGCATCACCTCATCAATCACGTATCGTTAACATTTTCGCCCTCACCAGAGGGCCAAAAGGCTGCTTCCGGGCCATTAACTTGGAATTTTAGAAACGACTCACCTTCATACCATCTTTGCCAGATTCATCCACGTCTGCCACTAACTTGGGCTTTTCGAACAGAACATGATTTCCGGATTTTTCGATGCGCTAAGCACCTCGCTTATTTGAAGGCCTGATGTGAGAGCGCGAGTGGGAAAAGCCCAGCACTACGAGTAAAAAGAAATAATATGGTAGTCCAGTAACATCAAACAGTATTTTAACATTTACTCAGTAAGATAAATATGGGATTCACATAGGGGCAGTGCCAGATTGCATAAAGGATACCACATCGAAAAGCGAAACAGAGGACAAAACGTTAGTCAATGCATCTAACAGATCGGACTTCTACCGTGGGACTGAAACTACAAGAGTGATCATTTAAAAAGACCACTGCTAAAGAAATCTCTCCGGAGATATTTTCTTGTGAGACTTTTGTTGCAATAGGTCCTACCCAATTCACTCGATTTTTCAGCCACGATGAATGGAGCCTGGAAGTTACATGAGGTCAAAATTCC